TGAGGCGGGGGGCAAGCCCTCCCGCGGAGGAGCCGCGCCCCCGGCCCCGCCGGTCCCGCCGCGATGCTGTTCCACAGTCTGTCGGGCCCCGAGGTGCACGGGGTCATCGACGAGATGGACCGCAGGGCCAAGAGCGAGGCTCCCGCCATCAGCTCCGCCATCGACCGCGGCGACACGGAGACGGTAGGCACACGGCCGCGGGTCGGGGCGGAAAGCTGGGACGGGGTCGTGTCGGTCTGCGCCTCTGCTCCCCAAAGTTTGGGGGCACTTTGAGGAGCGTTCTTCGCGCGGCACGGGACTGGGCGCTGGGGATCCGCGGATGGGATGCAAGGCCTGTAGCTCTCGATTCGGGAGCAAACCAGGCTGCTGGGGCAGAGGGAGAAAACAAGGCTGAAATCGAAATTTTAGACCCGGAGGGTGGAAGAGAGCATTTCTCCCGAAGTGGGAGTGAAATCCTGTTCGCCGCCCGAGATGGCTCTCTTCTCGCTTCGTCGGTCTCTTTGGTCGCCAGTCCCCGCACTCCCTTCCAACACTCGGCCCTGGCTGCTGGCGGCTCCGAGCAGGGAGCTCTGGAGCTCCGGACCACTTGAGCGGGAGACTCCCGCCTCCTGGCAATCGGAGTTCCCTCCCCAGCGCAATTTCAGGGATTGAAAGCTTCTGGGCCAGCGCTTTTCGTTGACCGCGACTAGGGCCTCCTGGCCGCCCGACTGGGCCAGGCCATGGCTCGGAGTTCAGGCTTCGGCCTGGCTCTCGCGGAAGGAGAGTCCGTTCGGATCTCCACACCTGGCTCCGCCGGCGCAGCCCCAAGGAGTCGGTTCCTCGCCCCAGACCTCCCTTGGGGCCAGACCAGTAGACGCTGCCCAAGCTGGGCCCAGAAGTGACCTTTAGAGGCCGACGAGGTGGGGAGCACGGGCAAAGTTTCTCAGCTCGAAAAGCAGCAGCCCTAGTGCCTCCGACTTCCAGGCTCTTCTTCCTGGGTTAAACGGTCTCAGCCTGTCTGCATAGCCGAAGATTTGGACTGGGCTTCTTGTGCACTCAGAGACTTTGAAGGGTGCCTCTGAATCCCACTCACCATCTCCCAGGATTCTGGGACCCGCGACCTGCCCTGGCCTAACAAGGACCCAGAGATCCCTGGGACTGTGGGCCAGGAATTCCTCTGCGTTTCTGGAGAGGAGTCTGTGTGGGGATTGACTTTTAAAGGTCATCTTAACCCTTTTCCTGGGGGCCCAGCCGAGAGGTTCCTGTAAGAAACAGTTTGGGGAGCTTTTGGAGGGCTTGACTGGGGGTAGCCACCGCTGCCCCAATCTCCAAACACAGCCCGGGAATTTCTGGGAAAAGGGCAGAGGGGACAGGAATGGGGAGAAATCGGTGGGAGATCTATCCAGGCCAGCAACCGGTCTTGGGCCTGTGGCCGGCTTGAGCTGTTGTGGGCGGGCCTGGGTTCTGAGCCTCCTGGATATGGGCCTTTGGGGTTGGAGGGAGCACACCGCACACCCTGGCCGCTTCCTCCGCCTTTCGGGCCAGCCGGAGTTACCGAGGGAGCCACGGGTGCCGCGCGGTTTTACCGCGGCGGCAGGGTCGCAGGTTGACGCAGGCGCTGCCGTCTCCCGCCTCCCTCCCTCCGCAGACCATGCCGTCCATCAGCAGTGACCGCGCTGCGCTGTGCGCCGGCTGCGGGGGCAAGATCTCGGACCGCTACTACCTGCTGGCGGTGGACAAGCAGTGGCACATGCGCTGCCTCAAATGCTGTGAGTGCAAGCTCAACTTGGAGTCGGAGCTCACCTGTTTCAGCAAGGATGGAAGCATCTACTGCAAGGAAGACTACTACAGGTAGCCCCCCACCTCAGGCGGGACCCACTGCCCCGCAGGACTCCCCATCTCAGACGCAGTCTTGACTGTCTCCTTTCTCTCCAGTCCCAAGGGAGGGTTCCCTACTTAGGTCCTCCCTTCTTCAAGCCAGCATGGATTGGGGGATAAACAGCAATTTGGGAGAACTCTTGGAAAGGTCCGTGAAGTATAGGGACCCTGAGAAAAGCAGAAGCTGCTGTCTTTTGAGCTTAGACCATAACTGTTTGGGTTGGGGGGTCCTCACATCCTTTTCTCTTTGAAGTTTCTTGGGTCAACCAGAGGGAACAGAAACAAGCACCCCCCCCCCAACCCAGGCAGCTTGGGCTGGTGTGAAACAAAGTTGGAGGGAGAGCTGGGGGATTGGATGGGGGCATTTCCGGGTCTTCGGTGGTGATGGGAGTGGAAGCTGGCCAGGATTAAGGAATTGGAATCCTTACAGACTCCAAGTTCCTTGTTTCTCCTCTCTGGGTTTAGGGTTAGGGTCTGTTTATATATTCTCTCTCCTCTTTCTCTCCCTGTCTCTGTGTCTCTTCCAAATTACAAAGGTCTGTAGGATTCCCAGGCACTGGTGTGGAGGGCAGGGGTAAAGTTTCAGGAAGGGTTACTCGGGGCGGGAGGGGGGGGGTTCTCCCCCACTCCCAAGCAAAGGCTTTCCTAGGGCTTGCTCAGGCTCTGGGTAAAGTAGAAGCCTTTGTAGGCATGAAGATAGTTAAGGGACACTCTATTTCGGGGTAGGACCAGATGCGGGCCAAAATCCAATCCCCTCTTCCCCCATCTTCCAAGTTAAGACCCAGGTTGAACATCTTGAGGAGGGGATTTCCCCCATTGGCAGCAGCGGCACCTGGAGGAGGAATATGGGGGTCCCCAACCGTGTGTCCCCACAGTCCCTCCTTCGATGGTCCCTACAGGCGGTTCTCTGTGCAGCGCTGCGCCCGCTGCCACCTGGGCATCTCAGCCTCAGAGATGGTGATGCGGGCTCGGGACTTGGTTTATCACCTCAACTGCTTCACGTGTACCACGTGTAACAAGATGCTGACCACGGGTGACCACTTCGGCATGAAGGACAGCCTGGTCTACTGCCGCTTGCACTTCGAGGCGCTGCTGCAGGGCGAGTACCCCGCGCACTTCAACCATGCCGACGTGGCGGCGGCGGCAGCTGCAGCCGCCGCAGCCAAGAGCGCGGGGCTGGGCGCAGCCGGGGCCAACCCGCTGGGTCTTCCCTACTACAATGGCGTGGGCACAGTGCAGAAGGGGCGGCCGAGGAAGCGCAAGAGCCCCGGCCCGGGGGCGGATCTGGCGGCCTACAACGCTGGTGAGTGCGAGGCGCACCCAGCGCCCCCGTCGGGTTGGGGAAGAGTGTGTGGCGTCCACCCCCGCGAGCCGGAGTGAATCTCAATGTGCAATATACACTTGCATATACAGCACTCGGAGTACTCTAGCCCTTAGTTTCCCCGAGCTCTAAGCACCGTAGGACCTGGCTGGAGGCACGTTAGCCTCCTGGGCTCCAGACCCTACGGCCTCAGCTGTAGCAGGACCAGAGGGTGTTTTAGTGTTGTCGCTGAGAAATTTTTTAGGGGCGTCTTTTTGGTTGGAGTCTTTCCCTCACTTTGCTGGGCAGAAACTACAAGGATAGAGAAAGCAAGGTGGAGCCCACACCAAACAGGCTCGTGGTTGGCGAGGCTGAGGGCGGGAGCTGCGACGATAGATGAGCCAGATAGTTGAGCCAGGCAGGGCGGTGAGGGTCCCAAGGGAAAGGACTGGCGGTGGCTGGGGGCACCGAGCTCAGCGTGCAGCGCGGCGGGTCTTGTGAAATGTGCTGAGGGCAGAAAGGCCCGGGAAATTTGGGCCCAGGAGCCTTCTGAGCAAGAGCAGGTCGTTTTCCTCGGTTGGATCCTTCTGCCCCGCCAGGTCTCGGCTTTTCCTGGGCTCCTTCCTTGGAGTTCCCGGCGCCAGCGGGGTGCTGAGATGAGAGCTGTGACCCTCGGAAGCCGGCGCCCGGGGGATGGGACCGGGATAGGCCTGGCCTCGCGCCGGGGTAGGGTGGCGGGCTCGTTTCGCATTTCCGGCGTCTTTGAACCCTGGGCCGTTCTGGGGGAGGCTCTGCCCCCCTCCCGTGCCCCTCTCCGCTCAGGACAGCTGCTGAGGTTCTGGGGCCCCGCAAATTGAACCGTCAACATCTGCCTGAAGTCTGCACGGCCCGGAAAGGTTTATGACTCCCCGGGCTTCTGAACTAGATAGAGTTTATTTGCTGTTATTCTTTCCTTCGTTTGCGACAGAATCGGATTTTGGGATTTTGTTTTCTTCCTCCTTTTCCCCTTAGTCTAATGCACAAGTGGAAACAAAACAAAACAAAGCAAAACAAACCCAGGACTCCTTGGAGAGGGCAGCGGTGGGGAAGAAGTCAGGGTTATTTTGATCTTTAAAAATCCGAGCTGTCTGGGGAGAAAAATAAGGGGTTCTCCTGTTCGCTCCAACGAAATTAGTTCTTGGAAGATCATGGAACGTGTGTGTCTCAGTGTGTCCAGCTGGGAGGAAAGCCCCCAGTCTGGTAGATGGTGAAGTGACCTCAGGCAAGTCCACGCCGGCGGATCATAGATTTGTTGAAGGCTCTGCCAGAGATACCTCTCTCCAAAACTTCCATCCCTGATCTCCCACCACCCTGAAAAGAGACTAAACCGAGTTTAGACCAGGTCCCTCAAACAAAAGCCTTGTCCGTGTATCAAGCATGGTTGGCCTCTGGTAGCAAGCAGCAGGCGCCCGGCCACTGGGCACATGGAGTGGGAAGCGGGGTTGTTTTCCCCGGCCCGCAGGTTCGCAACTGAGTTTGGCATGGAAAGGTAGAAAATCCAGAGATTTATTTGTGCTTTTTGCTGTTCCTCCACGTTCCCTGGCGAGGCTGCACCACACTGAGCAAGATGTGGCTGGAGGCCGTTTCAGGGAAGCTGGCACCTCGACAGGATACTCCCCACTGGAGTCATCTCCTTTCCCCTTTGGCCCCTCTCTCTCCTTTTTCTCCCTTTTGCTTCTCTCGGTTGCCCTTTCTCTATGTCACTATCTCACTCTGCGTGTGTCGCCCTGTTCCCTCCATCTCTCTCCTCGTGAGCGTCTCTGGCCTGGCTTGGCCGGCGCTTCCTGTACTGATTGAAACCGAGCGCTGCGCGTCGGCGGTGGCTACGCGGCTCGCTTACTTGGGGCTCCCGGGACCAGGCTCGGAAAAGAGGGCACCTTCCTGGGCGCATGGCAGGGCCAGGCCTCCCCAGGTCCGGTCGCCGTCCTCCTCTCTCCTCTCTCGACACCGACAGGAGAGAAATGGCCGCAGCTTGGGCTGTGGGGCTGCGGGGACTGGAAAGGGGGTACCGTGGAGAGTGCGACTGCGGGCGATGTGTACCGGCAAGTGTCTGTGCGTTTCTGACTGTGAAGACGCAACCTTGTTTGTGCGAGTGTCCCGGACCCAGGGGCCCAGCCATACCGACCCCTCTGCAGAGCCCATGGCTCTGGGGGATAGTGCGGTGGGGGAGAGCCCTTATTTAAGGGCGGTGAGCTCCGGCAGAGCGGGATGGAGCGCCGTCGGTGCGCCGGTCCGCGGGTTGGGGACGAGCAGCCAGAGCCGCGGGGTCGCAGGTCGGCAAGCCCTTCCGGGGCGGTGGCCACGGCGGCCCTCCTCTGGCTGTCCCTCTGGTCCGAGAGTGCAGCCTGGGTCCCGGAGGCGGAACTGAAACCTCCGTTCAGCCCCGGGCAGGGCTGCCTCGCGGGCCAGGGGTGCGGGCAAGGCGGCCAGGGCGGGTGAGGGGCCGGGGCCGCGCACTTGGCCCCGGGGTTTGCGCGCCACGGCCGCGGGAGTCCCGCGCGGACCTGCCGGACGCCCGGGCCTCCCCCAGTCCCAGCTTTTTGTGTGTGTGTGCCTGGCGGCATAATTACTGATTTGATTCCAATCCATTATTTAGACAATTGAACCTACAATCTCGTCTTTAGTAAAATGAGGCGAAGTCAGATTTGATTACAGGTTCAGTCCCAGCGACAAGAGCTCGAAACCCGATGGGTTAATAACAGATCACGAGTAAATTATTCATGATTTTACGAGCTCTTTAGCTCCATTGAATCGGCCTAATTGAGAGGAAAAAAAAAAAAAAAAAAGGAGAGAGAAAGAAGCCTGGTCCTCCCCCTCCCCTCGGCCCCTCGCTCCTCCCCGGATCCGATCCTGGAGAATCTCCACCCGCCCCGGGCGTCGGGGGCGGGAGTGAGGAGGCGTGGGGCACAGGCCAAAACTCGGCCCAACTGCCACTTCCACGCGGCCTTGTTCCCCCAGCACTGCCCCCTGCCCCGGCCGCTGGCGGGCCTCGGCCTCCCTACCTTGGGCCGGCTCCTTTTTCCCCCTCTCCCTCCTTTTCCCTGTGTCCTCCCTCCCCGCCAGGAACAGCTTCAGAATAGGCCTCCCTGCAGGGACCCCTTGAGACCCGGGATTCAGTTCAGTAACCTGGACCCTCCACCACACATCCCCCCTACTCCCGGGCCTCCCCGTCCCCTAGGCTGGCTCCGTGTCTCTCCTGATTTCTTCCCGTCTTTGTAGCTGTCTCTCTCCGGCTTTCTCGTCTCCACTGCTTTCTGTTCCTCTGTCTCTTCTCTTTTTTCTTGGCTCTGTCCATCTTCCCTCTCTACCTCCTCTCCTTTTTTCTCTCTTCATTCTCTTGGTCTTTCTACCTCTGTTTCTTTCTCTCCTTTCTCTGCCCTTTCTTTCTCCCTCCCCCAAAATGCCTCTCTCCATCTAGGCCGCTCTCGGGCCAGGTCCCTTGGGTGCATGGGGCGCCGGGGTCCCCACGGAGCTCATTAACAGCAGCAAGGCCCAGGCGGGGGCTGGGCGGAGGGATAGGCCCAGAGATCCCCTGTGGGGAGGCCTGCCCTACCCCCCTGTGGAGCTGGGGACTGGGGGCAAGAAGAGGGTCGCTCCCTGAAGAGGGGGCAGGGCAGTTTCCATGGATCCCCTTTGGAGTCATTTTCTGTTCCCCTTTAAATTGCTGGAACCCTGGTCTTCACTCTGGGTACTGTCAGTGGGATGCAGCCCAGGTGGAGGACTTGGGTGCCTGTGGCAAGGGGCCCATAAGGAGGTTGTAGCCTTTTGCCGACTGCTCTAAGGTTAGGGACCCGACCTGCATCCTGCAAATTCTTTCCGCAGGGGGCTACTCCCACCTGGGCAGGGGGAGGAGTAGGCCACTGGGAGAGCGGGAGTACTTTAAAGATAATGTTGCCAGATAAAATGCAGGACACCCCGTTAAATTTGAATTTGAGGTAAAAAACAAATAAATTTTCAGTGTAGGTGTATCCCGTGCAATATTTGAATTTTAAATAAACAACGAATAATTTTTTAGTATGAGTGTATACTATGTCATATTTGAATTTTAGGTAAACAACAAAGAAATTTTTAGTATAGGTATGTTCTGTGCAATATTTGAGACATACTTCCACTACAAATTTTTTCGTTGATGACTTGAAATTCAAATTCAACTGGGCAACTTGTATTTTTATTTGCTAAATCTGGCAGCTCTATCGTGGGCATGCGATAGGGCATGAGATATATTCCCAGTTGTCCATTTTTGGGGGACCGAATTAATCTCTCATGAGGTTTTCCCCAAAGTAAGACCTGATGTGTGTAATGACGAGGGGATCTTGGAGAGGGATCCCGTGTGTCCCAATCAGCTGCCAGGTTGCCAAGCAACTACTGAGGCTGAGGTTTCCACCCCTGTCCCCTACTCCTAGTGCCTTCCAGGCACTGGCAGCCAGACCCCAGCTGGGCCCCTTCTGGTTGGGGATGGGTTCCCCCAAGAGTCATGCTTCATCTTTGCCTGCCTTGGTGGTGTAGTGGAAAGAACAGGCAAAGACTACAGTAATGAATCTAGGCTCAGCCGTTACCGTGCGCACGTGGCTTCATGTCTCTTAACATGAGTTTCCTCATCTGTAGAATGGGATGAGTAGCAACAGCCACCCATTGAGCAAAGGCATAACCCTAGGTGTCGAATACATGTTAATTTCTTCCTCCAACTTTCCCTTTCCAGTTAGAACTCTACCAGTCCGTGAGATTTGCGAAGATCGCTTAACTTCCCTGCCTCGTTCACCCCATTTGTAAAACCGGGAAGCAACTGCCCCACAGGGCAGTGGTGAAGATTAAACTGCAAAATACAATTTCTGATCTTCAGGCAAATGCCTTTGGCCCAGGGGAGTCATACAGTACTTTTGGGTGTAGAAACTGATAAGGACGAAATGAAAGCCAATGGAGAGATTCAGAGACTTCCAGGTGCCTGCCCCAGGCACAGTGGGGGGAGATCGGTGACAACCCCCTCCTTAGGGAGTGCAGAGGGAAGCAGAAAGAGCGTGGTCTCTGGCGTCCCTGTGCTGCTGGGTCCTCAGTCAAGTGACTTCCCTCTCTGAACCTCAGTTTCAACGTCAGTAAAAAAGGCAAAGATACTGCCTGGCTCATAGGGTTCTTTTGAAGATTCAAGGAGAACGTTCCTGTAAAGCACATCACGTGGAGCGGAATAAGCCATCAACAAGTTGTAGCCGCTGTTGTTATTATTCGTGTTATTATTATCGTAACATGGTGGCTCAGAAGGGGTTTTGGATTCTCCTAGAGCTGTGTTGGAATCCAGCATTTCCTAGCTGAGTGGCCCTGGGCGGGTCACTCTCCCCGGGGCCTCAAATTCCTCTGTAAATCTATAACATGAGGATAAAATCTCTGAGTGCAGTGCGGGCACGCAGTGTGGTACGGAGCTAGAAACTCTGGGTGGCGGGTGGGGTGGGCGTGGACTAGGAAGTGTGTGTGGGGGGCGGGTCAGGAGGTTCACCTGCCGCCTCTGCGTCCCCCTCCCCAGCGCTGAGCTGCAACGAGAACGACGCGGAGCACCTGGACCGCGACCAGCCGTACCCGAGCAGCCAGAAGACGAAACGCATGCGCACCTCCTTCAAGCACCACCAGCTTCGGACCATGAAGTCTTACTTTGCCATTAACCACAACCCCGACGCCAAGGACTTGAAGCAGCTCGCGCAAAAGACGGGCCTCACCAAGCGGGTCCTTCAGGTTAGCTGGGACCAGGTTGGGCATGGGGACATCTGCATCCGCCAAGATCTGGGATAGAAGTCTTCTGCCGGCCGCAGGCCTGGGGAGGACCTTCTGCCCTGTCTGCCTTTCTCTTTGTTTACTGCTCCCGTTCTCTTTCTCCATCTCTTCCGTCTGTCTCTATTCGTATTTCAGTCTTTTTTTTTTTCCCCAGCTTTACATCTTCGCTCTCCTTCAATTTTCGTCTCAATTTTTTTTCTGTTTTGCGTGTGTACCTCTTTGTCTCCACACCCAGTCTCTTTCCTTTCTAATAAACAATTCTTAGTTGCTATTTATTCAAGTGACACTCAAATATGTTCATATTGTAAAAGGTTCAAACATTTCAGATAAATTCAGTGTCCCCCCTCCCCACCCCCAACCTTGGCCCCTCATCCCACGAGGCCCATTCAAGCAGCTGCTGCTGACCGGTACTTTCTGCTTCTTGCTCCTCACTTGCCCTCTCTGGTTTCTCTCTTTCTTTCTATTTCTCTCTAGATTTTTCTTCTGTCTCTTTGTTGTTTCTCAGACTCTCCCAGAAGCAAGGTTTGGTGAAGGGAATGCATGTGGGCAGATCCCTGGGGTGGGCCCGGGGGCCTCTCCCAGGTCTGTCCGCAGGGAGCTGGAGGAAATACATAGGCACCTCTGAAATTGGGCAGAATTGCACTTGTTTATGAGGGTACTTTCTTGATGGAGAGGATCCAGCGCTTTCACCAGATTTCCAAAGGGTCTGTTCATCCCCCCAAAGATGTTGAAAAGTTCAGTGCGGGGAGTCCCAGGATCCTACATGACCTTAACTCATGGCTGAGCTTTGGGCCACTACTTCTCAACTCTTCAGCTCCTCCTTTTACTTACTGGGCAAATCACTTCACTCTTCTGAGCCTGTTTCCTCGGTGGTGTGAAACAGACACAAAAAATTATCTAATCTTCAGGCTTATTGGAAGAGCCACTGAGACAATATTATGAGCCTATCACAGTGTCTGACACTTAACTGCCCAGTGGATGGTAGCTAAGAATAGCATTAACTAAATTGATTGACTAACTGATATTAACTAATATGAATCATTTTTCTGGTCGCTAGACCTCAGCGTCCCCATTCATACAATGGTAAGGTGGGAGACTATCTCCCTTTATGGCAAGTCTAACCAGTTTATTCCTCAGAACATGTGGTTGTAGGGATAACAGTGCACATTTCTGGGTAAGAAAATCAACATATCAAGTAATTTGACTATGGTCTCAAAACAGGAGGGGAGGTGCTGAAATTCGAGTCCAGGCCAGTCTGACCCAACCTCCAGCTCCAGGTCGTGCGGGCTTGGGGGTGGGTTGGGGGCAACACCAAGAGAGTGATGGTGATGATGACGGTGATGGACAAGAAGGGCTGCGCTGCAGCCCTAAGTTTTTCTGCGAATCTGTCAGGAAAAAAAAGAAAGCAAGCAGTTTGTGAGTGACAGCAGTGGCGGGATGGAACTTGACGCGGGCGAGGGTCTGCAGATCTCAGGACCCGGGAGCCGGGCCCTCAGGCCAGCTTGGCCCGGCTGCCCCAACCTCTGAGCACCCCGAGCGGGTCTGGGACAGTTTGGTCTCAGGAAGCTCTGAGACGTAGCGAGGGACGCGAGGACGGGCCAATGGGGTGCTGATGCGCCTCTCTGGGCCCGCCCCCGGCCCTGGCGCTCTGGCGCGGGTCCTGCCCCTCCCTCCGGTTTGAGTCCGGTTTGCCAGCGGGTCCTTTAGGCCTGGGCTCGAGCAGACAGACGCCCTGGTCTGGGCTCTCCCTCGTCTGTTTCCCTCGGACTTTACCTTCTTGGAGGTAGATCTTGGAGTTAGATCCCCTCAGTTCCTCGACCCCGGGCGATTTCGGACTGAGGATCCCCGGCTGCCACATTTTCTCTGGTTAGTAGGAAACTTTGTTCCTTCGCTTATCTAGATGCTCCTCGAGTCAGGCCCTGGAAGCAGGCAAGGGCGGGAGCAGGGACTTGGAGTCGGGCAGAGCTGGGTTCAGGAAGACCTGAGTTTGGTTCTGCTCCTCCACTTGCCGGCTATGTGTCTTGGGACAAATCAGTTACCCTCTCTGAGCTATAGCTTTCTCATCTGTAAAATGGGCACCATTAGGGTACGTGCCTCTCTCCCAGTCCTCTGGGTTAAATAGAGCACGTGCCCACAGCTGAATCTCCATCTGGAGGGAGAAGCCAGTCTCTGCTGGCCTTGGCGAGGCTCGGTTACCTGATTTCGTAGCAAATCGGATGTCTAGCATAGTTATCTCCCATTCTTTCATCTGACCAAATAGCTATTGGCCCCAGGCCCTGGGGGCAAAGAGATGAATGAACCACAGTCCTGGTCCCGAAGATATTCACCAATGAGGTGTAGAGACAGAGCTGTATTCAGTTTCCCATAGTGTGATAGGTTGGGGTGAGAGTTCTGTGGGACACCAGGGGAGGGATCAGCTACCCTATGTGAGGAAGGATTCTCCTGAGGGTCTTGGGTGGATGCTTGCCCTGTCCCCTCCTTCCCTAGAATCCTGAGCCAGGGCCACTCACACCTGCACTACTGTTCTACCACAGGGACTCAGAAAGGCCAGGGGCATGGGACTAGTTCAGGGAGAAAAACACTGACCGTTATTGTGTGTCTACTAATCAATAAACGTTTATGTGCTCTACTATGTGTCAGGTACTTTGAAAGGCCTATGAAATACATTTGTTCATTGACAGTCCTCACTGTTAGGTGTCATGATCCCTGCTCCCTCACTGAACAAATGAGAACTTTGAGGCCCCAAAGATTTCCACTGGCCCCCAGTCACACATTTGCTGGGAAGTAGCAGAGCTGGATCCAAATCCAGGCCCATCTGATCAGGGGGCATTGCTCTTTTCTCCCCTAAGCCAACCCAGCAGTGACTGCCTCTGGGTGTGAGTATCATCTAGGGCCTGCGCGTCATTGTGGGTGGGCGCAGTCATACCTGTAAGGCTACCAGACCACTTCCCTCCTCTCAGACCTCCAAATCCCCTGCACAAATCCTTAGTGTTCCTTAACAGCACAACCGCTTATGATTAGGCAGTAGTTTGCAAAGCATTGTCTTTCCAGCCACTCGTCTACCTTTTACCTTAATATATTCCTGTCCATTTTGTAGATGAGAATCTTAGGACATAGTGAGATGAAGTTTATTTGCTTGAGGTCACAGGAACCAGGCGTTGGCAGTGGTGGGGCTCTCTGCCAGGCCGCCTGACCGCTGATGGGCCAGCTGGGGGAGATGGGATGGAAGCAGATTTGGCTGGGGCAGCTGGTGGTGTGGCTTCAGAAGGTAACAGCCTGGTTCAGGTCTTTTCAGACTTACCAGTGGTGTGATTTGGGTACTTTAACTTTTCCTCTCTGAGCTGGATCCCTTATCTGTGAAATGGAGATGATAATAGTTTGTACCCTGAGGATTCCTGGGGACTGAGACAATGAATGGGAAGGCTCCGGCGTGGTGCCTGCTGGTACGAAGTAGGTGCTGGTGAAATGGTTCCTCGTCACTAGTCTACACCAGCTGAGTGGTACTAGGCCTTGGGTGCCCCCTGCAGGTTGTGGCCCCGATCAGCCCTTCAGAGAGTGCCTGGCAGGGACAGGTTGAGGTTGAGGCTGTGTTCCCAGAAGTGGTTGATGTGAAGGGTGTGTGTGTGTGTGTGTGTGTGTGTGTGTGTGTGTGTGTGTAGGGGGTTCCAGTCTGTTACGGAATCTGTAATGCATAAGTACCACGAACGTGGTAATCCTGGGATGCAGTATCTCTGCTGGAATTTGGAGTCAGCTGATGTGAAGTCCAGACTCAGCTCTCCCACTTACTCTCCGAGTGATCCTGAGCAAGTGACATAACCTCTCTGAGCCTCAATGGCCTCAGCTATATAATGGAAGCAATAATAATACTTCACTAGGCTGTCGCAACAAGTAAAGGAGATAAAGTGTAATTTATAAAGTATATTAGGGACTTGATGTACATTAATTTCATGCACATTTACATAGCACGGTTCAGTCTACCAGCCTCTTTTGCACACACTTAAAAAGTGTAATTATCTTCATTTTGCAGATGAGGAAACTGAAGTTCAGAGAGGCTAGGACCCTTGCCCCGAGTCTTACAGATAGTAAGTGATGAAGCTGGGAGTCAAGTCCAGATGGGTCTGATTCTATAGCTCTTTGCAATATAGCAGGGTGCACAGACTGGTTCCCTACCTTGGATCTAGCTGCAGAATGCAGCAGGACAGAAGGGGGAGGGGGAACGAGAGGGTCAGAGATGCCACATCTTGGTAGGAAAGCAGGAATCCTATTGTAAAGCCCTAAATGCATACAGAGTGCTCAAATTTGTCATCTTCAGCAGCATGACAACCACAATACTGACTTTCCATCGGTGGGCAAGGTGACCGGGAGACAGAATGCCCCCTTGGACAGAGGTCCATTAAGACATTAAGCTTTGCAGATGCTTGGAGACCGTTTGTCAGCACATCCTGTCTCTCTGAGTTGCCTTCTTCCTGGGGGAGGGCCAGGAAGGCAGACTGTTAAGATGTTCTGGGCTTGGGGAGGGGGCGGTGAGCTGATTGATTTGGATGGGTGAAGGTCTCCTTAGGAGTTCCTGGTGTGCCTTTGAAAGAAAATACATTGTAACCACCAAGAGTTTAAAAACATTTTTCAGATGTTGAGTTAGTCATCATTAATCCCTGTGAGAACTCAGGAGCTGAGAACGCTGGCTTTCCTCTGTTCACTCGCTTATTCGACAAATACGCTGGCCTTCTGCCACGTGCTGGGTGGGGAGGGAGGCACCGAGGACCGAGCCATGACCCAGACAGTGAACAGAGCCCGCTGGAACGTGCACTCCAGAGGGGACGCAGAGGTGTAAGAAGGTGTTGTGGAAATAATTAAAACAGTGAGATGATTAGTCTCTATATGTGAACTATCTCATAACAAAAAATATTTTTTAAATGATTCCAGGACCAAGTAAGTTTGGGAGATGTGCAAGGCTGACCATGCCTTTTGTCCTGGAGATCACTGAGAAATGGTGAGGAGATTCAGTTTGGTCTGCTCTAACAGCTCCCACATTTATGTGGCCACAGAACTCTTGCTTAAGTCTCGACAAAAATAAAATGGAAGTGCTAGACAGGATGAACACAGGGCTGCAATGAAAGCACGTGACATGGTGACCCGGCTTGGTAAAGGAGGGAGTCAGGAATGGCTTCCCTGAGGGGAGGTTTAAGCGAGGGTCAGTCGCTTTGAGGTGCTTTGAGCCTCAGCTTCCCCACCTGTAAAATGGGGAGAGTGAGCATTGTTCCGCCTGTCGTTGGCACAGGGCAGTGGAGAGTATGTGATCTAGTCACAGATGGTCGAAGCTGGATGGAGTTTCATAGGTGATTTAGCCTGCATCTGGTATTTTGGATGGAGTTTCAGAGGTGATTTAGCCTGAATCTGGTATTTTAGAAGGGAGGAAGCTGAAGCACAGAGAGGTGGAGTGACTCACCCGACGCCCCACAGCAAAGCAGTTGTAGTGCTGGGGCCAGAACCAAGGGCTCGTGACGTCCAGTCCAGTGCTTATTACTTTCAGTTCCTTAAAGCTTTGCGTATTTTTATAAAATAATAGAGCTATCCTATAGACAGGTTAGAAAAATAGGGGATAAATCACCCACGTAAGAGCACAGGAAACCGAGAATCCAGGTGCGCAGTTTGGAAGCAGTGAGTAAGGGCGTGGACCCAGCCTGCTGTGTTCACATCTCAGCTCCATCTCTTTGGTTGGGCCCCGTGCCTCAGTTTCCTCACCTTGCAATAATATTAGTGCTTACCTTGTAAGGCACTGTTATAAGTTAATATGTGTAAAACGGTTAGAACTCCGTTTAGGCAATGCCTGACACATAGTGAGTAAATAATATTTGTCATTATTATTGTTACGAAGTTTCAATACCAGAGGACATAATTTTTTCATTCTTTTTTCTCACATAACATTTGTCATAAGACATTTCCTCTTCAACTGGGTGGAGTGGCTGTGTTATGACTTTCCTTGTCCTGTCTGGTCAGACACTTTGGATACAGCTGTTAGTTTTGATGTTATTAAAAAAAAAAAAAATGCCACAGTGGAGGCCACTGGGCACGAAGCTTTTGTCTTTTGTCTGGTTTCCTTGTCAACCCAGGAGGAGATTTGTGAGGCAAAACACAACCTTCAGGGCCAGCTGGTGCCTGAGGAGAGGACACGTAGCAATGTGGGCTTCCTCATCCACCCGGGACTTACTGGGGTGCCCTGTGCACCAGGCCAGGCACTCCCCTCAAATGAAGAGAGAGGGCTGGCAGTTTCAGAAGCTGGGTGGGGAGAGCAGATCACTTCCTTTCTCATTGCAGCTGCCCTAGAATCCCAGCCTGTCCGAACCCCCAAGAGGCCATAGAGCTCGTGCGATGTGGTCCAATGCTCTTGTTGTACAAGTGGGGAAACTGAGGCAGGCCCAGAGGTAAGGGGCTCACCTGAGGTCACTTGGCTGGTCAGGAGCAGAACCAGAACAGAAACTCCATACTGTGCTCTTTCCACCGCACCATAGTTACTTCTCTGTTCATTCATTCATTCATTCATTCATTCGCTTGCTGGCTCACTCAGGAGCATGTGGTAGGGAGAGCATGGACGTTTTATGGCAGATAACCCTGAATTCCTAGATTCCACGTTTTATGGCAGATAACCCTGAATTCCTAGATTCCAATCTCAGCTTGGCCTCTGTTTGACCCTAGGTGGCCTTCACCTCCCTAAGCCTCTCTGGCTTTAAATCTGTAAAATGGCAATAATGATCCCCCTACCTGGCTTATCATGGAGATTGCCTGTGACTATGCATGGTAGAGGGTGACATGATGCCTGGCACATAGTAAGAGGTCCCTGAATGTTGTGTTGTTATTACTATTAACTCAATGCATATTACTCATTCTTAACCTTTGCCGGTCCCTGTGCCATGTCCCCAGGAATATGAAGATGACTCAGACAGGGTCCCTGCCCCAACAACCGCCCAAGAGGGGACTTTTTGAAATACCTGGGAGAGAATTCTGGTGCAGCCCCGCTTAACGTGAAAAACAAACCCAACACAAAACCCCACAGCAGCCACCTTTTAGGTTGAGTTGTTGATTTTTATCCACCAGATTCCCAATGCCTCTGATCTAGTAAAGCAGAAAAGGCACTTGTGGAAGATGGTGTCATTGTTTACAAACCACTGTTAAGGGCGACGATGGAGAAATGGCAAATAGCCAGCAGCTAACCGGTTCCAGTACTTCCCAAGGGCTTGGAGCCCCAGACCCAGGAGCCACGTGCCACCACCAGGATTCCCCGCTTGAGCTGCCTCTTTGATAGACACACAGGCCAGGACAGTGGCAAAGGGTGGCATTAAGGCTCCAGCCTTCCTCATCCGACCTGCTGCGGGACCGGGGAAGTCACCTCCTCTCTCTGAGGGCCTCTGGGGCTTTTTCTATCTGTTTTCTCCATCGGCCATTGCTGGGGTTCAGCCAGACACAGAGTCTCAGCCCTGTAGTTTCCTGCAGGCTAGGCAGGGAAGGGCCTTCCACCCCGAGAAGAGCACGTGAGGGTGGTTTAGAAGCACTGGGCTTATCTGCAGGCCTCCAGAAGAGGTGATGGGCTTGCTCTGGGCTCGAGGCCAGGGGAACTGTGCTTTCTTCCTGGGAAGATCCAGCGTGCTGGGGAGAGAGCTTTGTTTCCCGACTTCCCGGGGTCTGTGTCTCCCTCCTCACTCCGAGATTCTCCCGGCTGTGCTTTTAATTGAACCCAAATTGTATCAGGCCACCAAAAAGGCAGTGTGAGGCCACAGGCCCCTGTAGTTGGGGTGGTCCCCAGGGGAGGGTGGGGTCAGGCGTTGGCCCATACACGCCTGTTTGAGACACTGTGAAGACAGGCAGATGCAGGCACATCTGGAAATACGCAACTGGACACCCAAGAATCTGCAGAATCCCCCAAGGCCCTGTGTTTTATGGGGAGGCTTCTGGCGGGTGTTTTCCTCACGCAAAGGGAAGTGAGGGGGCCCTGCCTTTCAGGCTTCTTTCTTTGAGAGATACAGCGCCCCAACCCCTACCGTCGCCTGGATTTCCTAGGCCTTTCCCAATGTACTTCGAGGACCCTTGGGTATAGCTGGGTAGCTCTGTGCAGTTAGATGGCTGGGCATACTGGTGGGGGGTGGGGGTTTGGTCTGTGTTGATGAGTTTCTGTGCTCATCTTCATGAGTGTGTACAGGCTCGTGTGCAAAGGTATGGATGCGTGTGTGTATCTGTGCTTCAGGAAAAATGAAAGTAAACCCTTATTCTGTCTCTCGGGTATTCGTTTCATACCAAGCTCAGTTCCAACTGTGTAACCCACCCCACCTCCCTCATAAACGATGCTGGGACGTGGCCAGTTGAGAGAGGGAATCTGCAGGTTACAGCCTCCTTGGCCTCACTTTACTGTGGCAGCTGTCCCTACTCTGCCCACCCGTCCCTAAGACCTGACACCCAGTGGTCCAGGACACCGGTGGCTTCAGCTGATGGTGCTGGGGAGTAGGATCCATGTCTGCTTTCTCTTAGTAGCTCCTTATCGACTGACTTCTGTCTCCTTTACACCATTCTAGTGTTTCCCAGACTTAGTGTCCATGAAGCGCTTCAAAAATTGTACCAACAAGAATTCGTGGCATCTATTGCGTGCCTAAAGGCGACTGCTGAAAAAAATGAACCTCTCAAAATTGTGAAAAACAATCAGGATTGGGTTTGCACCAACCTCCCAGAACAGCGCTGTCCAAAAGAAATGCAACATGGCCACATACGTAATTTTACATTTAAAAATTTCTAGCAGCGACATTAAAAAAGCAAAAAGAACCTGGTAATATGAATTTTAAGAAAATATTTTGTCAAGCTCAGTATATCCAAAAGGTTATCATTTCAACATGTAACCTGCATAAAGATTATTATTGAGATAGTCTACCTTCTTTTTTTCGTACTAAACCTTCACATTGGTTGTGTGTTTTCACCTACAGACTAGCCACATTCGGGCTAGTCACATGTCAGGTGTTTAATAGCCACATGTGGCCAGTGGCTATGATATTGGAGGGGGTCGCTCAGCTCCAGAACCTTCTGACAGACAGTCCTAGCCCATGAGAGACAAGGAAATTTTTATTTTATTAAGAGAAAAATATTGTCAGCCCTAATTTTCCTCCCAACCCCCACCCCCCTCCCATCCCTCACCCCCCTGCCACCCCGCAAAACATTCCATCTCACCCCACACAGGTCTGGTTTCAGAACGCCCGGGCCAAGTTCAGGCGCAACCTCTTACGGCAGGAAAACACGGGCGTGGACAAGGCCACGGAGGCGGCGCTGCAGACGGGGACGCCGTCCGGGCCAGCCTCGGAGCTCTCCAACGCCTCGCTCAGCCCCTCCAGCACGCCCACCACCCTCACGGACTTGACTAGCCCCACCCTGCCAACTGTGACGTCCGTCTTAACTTCTGTGCCTGGCAACCTGGAGGGCCACGAGCCTCACAGCCCCTCACAAACGACTCTCACCAACCTTTTCTAATGACTTGCGCCCCCCTCCCCCCCTGCC